CAAAGTGCCTTTTCTAAAGGCTCTCATGCTCTCTTTTGCATATGATTCCTCAAACTAGACATGGAATAGAGTCCCTGCAATGTATCTGTATATTCCCCAGCCATTTCCCCATCAAATATGTGCCATGTATGGGATGGATGGGCTAGGTTGACTTTGGATAACCTTTTAGCCCTAACCCTAACTTTGTAGTCTAAGTCCGACTTTTGTAGTCTTTTGTAGTGTATCAGTAAAATTTGTAGTCTATGTCCGACTTTTGTAGTCTATATCTGACCATTCCTTTTCTAGGGCATGCACCTTCCTTTTTTGGTCATTTTTCCCATGATACAATAGTTGTAGCCCTTTCTTTTAGCTTTCTAAATATACTGAAATCATATTGTTTGGTTTTGTTTTCATGGAGAAAAATGCAAAAAACAAAAAAAAACGCAACACTTTTGGGATTCCTTTACCTCATATCTCCACAACGGGAGCACTTCAGAACATAATTCGAACAGATTCAGGAAGCTACAGTGTAGGGCTACAATTTTTGTTTTTGACCATTTTTGGTAATTGGTCATGTGACCATCATCCCAACATCCCATTACATGGACCCTGATAGGTAAAATCATTCTCCGCTTGGTTTTCTTCACTTTTTGGTCAAACCAGGTGATATTTCCCTTTTGGGATGGAACCTGAAGTGGACCCTGAAGGCAGTGCCTGATGTTCTGTACACCATTTTTATATATATATTCAATTTTTCCACTGTTTTTCTGGCTATTTTTGGATATATTACCATATTTGGAACTGGACCCTGGACCCTGACAATGTTACCCAACATGATGATCAGCAATGAGCCCTAATTTTTCCTCATTTTATTGCTATTTTACATTTGGAAATGCACCCTGGACCCTGAAAGGTCAGCTGCCGCTAAAAATGAAATATTTATTGAAAGCGCCAGGTACACATATGAAAAGTGCAATGAAATCTCCTAGGAATAAGAATGAAATATCCATTGAAAGCGCCAGGCATCCAAATGAGAAGCACAATGAGATATCCTGGGGTTAGCAATGAAATATCCAATGAAAGCACCAGGTATATCTATGAAAAGTGCAATGAAATATCCTAGGAACAAGAATGAAATATCCATTGAAAGCGCCAGGCATTCAGATGAAAAGCACAATGAAATATCCTGGGGCTAACAATGAAATATCCAATGAAAGCGCCAGGTATCCATATGAAAATTGCAATGAAATATCCTGGGGTTGAGAATGAAATATATATTGAAAGAGCCAGGTGTCCATATGAAAATCGCAATGAAATATCCTGGGGTTGAGAATGAAATATATATTGAAAGCACCAGGTATCCATATGAAAATCGCAATGAAATATCCTAGAATAATGAGATATGCGATCTCATAGAACCTCTAGGCATTATACACATCGCCCTCCAGGCATATGTCTGGTTTTTATCATAAAAGTGTATACCACCCATCCCAGGTACTCGACGCCCTTCTTCGTACGTCGTTCAGCTATGATTCTTTCCACTTCGTACTCTTCTTGTGCAGGTCTAGTAGTTCTCGTCTCTGGTAGGTTGTGGCGGTCCCCGTACATCGTTGGTGAGTCTTCGTATTTTTTTAAATGTTGATAATTGAATATTGGCAGCCCGGGGTATAAATTGCTCATTCGCAAGCGGTAAACGTTGGGATTTATGCGCTGAATGACTTCGAACGGCCCAATCCAACGTTGGGCTAACTTCTTTCCCTCACCTTTAGATTCGACCCATTCCAGCGCATGTGGATTAACGAGAACGCGGTCGCCCTTCTGAAGGTGAGGAATTGCTTTACGCCCTTTATTGAATGACTTGGCCTGTTGATCTTGAGCCTTAGCGATGGCTGCT